AAATACCCTGAAATTTCAACATTTTTAATACCAAAGTACGATAACTGAGATGTTTTCGTCGAAAATTAATTAGGTAAAAAATATATCGAAAACATGTTAGAATTGATTTGCATGGATGAATATAACATCAACGTGGATGAAAATCTAATTTTAACAGTAAATTTTTAACCCGCCCGCCATAGTTTTACTTTAACCCACCCGCCCTCTTTGTTTTTATATTGGTTAATATTTTATTTTTATATATTTTAGAAATATTTTCAGGTGTTTTAAGATATTAAAATAAAAATGTTATCTCTTCCGAGTTTTAGATATTTTATTTATAAATTTTTTTTACATATTTTGAGCTATAATTCTTAGTTCAATTATTATTAGAGCATATGGCCTTTCATACTAAATTATTATTTCTTCTTTTAAAAATGAATATTCTAAAAGTATGTGTATATATTCATGATGAAACAAATCAATTAGCACCGTCAGAAACAGAACATACTTGTTGCAATTTCATAATGCGGGTAGAAGGAAATAAAAAAATTGAAATACTGTTTAGGTGTCGTAATATAGATACTTTCGAAAATATTGAATTAAATGTTTAGTTTTAATATTTTTATATATTTTATTAATCTAATATATATAATCTCCATAATCAAAACATGATCGTTTTCGTATCTTTCTAATGTATTTAAAATTTAAGGAGACTATATAGTGTAATATTATTTTTTTGCTCTCTGCGAAAGTCGAACCACAAACCTCCCGTTTCAAAGGCGTATGTTTTAAGCATGCACCAACTTGAAATATTAATTAATAGCTGATATTTTTAAAATTTTGCCTTTTATTACCATACTAGCTGACGGGGTTGAAGGGTAATTATTTAGTTTGTATGTATGGTACTAATTATACTTTATTAATAAATTTTATATAAATATTAAAATTTAGGAGAAAAAGAGGTAAAATTGTTGCTGTATATCGGAGCATGTATTAAAAATATCAAAATTTAAATTTGTGATGGAAATCATATTGGATAAAATTTAATGAGTTATACATTGGCCTGAAAATTTTTTTTGCAGACATAGCCAGGCCTGATCAAAAAACCAACTTTCATAAAATTTTGCCATTTATTTTTATTGTAATTTAATAAAAATGTCTTAAATTTAATTTTATATTTAGAATAAAATTTAGATTTGTGATATAAATCATATTGGGTAAAATATAAAATAGAAATGCTTGAATTTTTTAATTTTAAATACGGGCTAGACATTGGCGAAAATTTTTTTCCCAGAAATCGCCAGGCCTGATTAAAAAACCAAGTCCATGCAATTTTCATATTCTGATTTTATTTTTAAATGAATTATGACTTTTATATATTTTATTTCAGTTCTCAACTAGGCCTACAAAAAAACGAATCGAATCGAATAATACTATTATTCGTAGAATAATTGCGCTATTCGTATTCGTACGAATAATAAAATCATTATTCGTTTAGATTCGATTCGAAAATTTTTCTAAAGCTTATAAAAATTTTTACAGATGTTTAAAGATGACACTTTTAAGGATTCTCTAAACTAATTGTCATTACAATATAAAAATTTATAGAAAATAAACGAAATAAAACCCAATGATTTCATATAACGTTAACCAAACAAATTGACCAAAATATCCGATTTTTAGAATTAGAATTGCTTATAAAAAAATATTTAAACTATTTCTTCAATCTAATATTCAAATTTTATTAAAATTTTCTAAAAATGTACAATAATCTCATTTTATAAAAATAGAAAATAATACACAAAAATATAAAATTATAGTAAATCCGAATTTGATAATATCCAATTTTTTAAGCATAAAGTCTTTCTAATAGTTTCCTCCTTCAAAGACATTCTATTTTCATTATCATATTTGTTCCTATTGAGAACAACCGCTCACATGAAGCCGAAAATCCCTGAATTGACAATATATCAGTTGCCATTTTCGACAACACAGGAAAACGATCCCCATGCAATCTCCACCATTCTAAGGGACTCTTATTTGAACTGATTCTTATTTCGTTAAGATATGTCTCCACCTCACATACTGATGCGATGTTATTTTGTTTAAAAATTCTATCCACGTTCGACTGTACTATTGGGTTAACTGATGTTGATTTGATATTATATTTTATTTTGTAATCATTATATACATCTTTAAATTTTTCTAATAGATTTTTCGTGTCTATGTTATATGTAGTTAGTAGTTGCTCAAAAAATTACATTTTTAGTCTAGGATCCAGTATTGTTGATATTATAGTGTGAATATTTGTTAAGTTATAATAAGTTTCTATTTTCTCAATCGCACTGTTAGAGTTTATAAAATCGAGATTTATTTTACTTGCAATAAAATATTTTCGAATAATACGAATAATTTTCCTCATTATTCATATTCGAATCGAATAATTGTGTTATTCGTATTGGTAAAATAAGAATCGAATCAAATAACAAATAATTCGTTTTAGGCCTATTCTCAACTAACAAAATTAATATGGTCTATAGCGGGCTTGAAAAATTTTTCCAAACAATATGGTTTTCAGAGATTTACCTATCTCCAGGCTTGGGAAAAAATTACAAAATTATTATGGGTTGGCTAGGTTTCAGAAAAAAAATTTCAGGCCAATGTCTGTTCCGTATTTAAATTTCAAAAATTTTGAAGCATCTCTATTTTTAATTTTACCCAATATGATTCCTATCCCAAATTTAAATTTTGATATTTCTAATACCCTTAATGTTCACGGGTTACATTGCGACAATTTTACCTCTTTTTCTCCTAAATTTTAATATAAAGTATATTTAGTACCATATGCACAAACTAAATAATTACTCCTCAACCCCGTCATTCTTGACGGGTTATTAGCTAGTAATTATATACATTTCGATTTTAATTTTTATATTAATATACCTTGCACTATTTCTTCTAAAAATTTAATTGATAATCCCGAAAAATTTATCCTACCTTCAATAAATTTGTAGGCAAAATGCTTTACCCCCGCCTCCAGCCCTTATATAGACGCAAAAAATACTTCAAAAAAATTTTTTAGATAAAAATAATATAGAAAATTAACTAATCTTAAAAACAACAAATCCTTTATTAAAATTACATAAAAAAATAAATAAGAAACGTCAACCAAAAAAATAAGTTAATTTATTTTGTTTCAACATCTTAATAAATATCCCTCTTTCATTGTATAAAGAAAAAGCATAACTAATTAAAAATTATATTGCCAAACACATTAATTTCTTTGCAAAAACAAATTTTTAATAATCTAAACAAAGAGCTGATAATGTGTTAATCGAATCAAATTTTTTTTATTCAAATGATTCGATTATTTTTAGTATTTATATTTATGTAAATTTAAATTTTTTTTTTATTGAATATAACACCTACGCATGGAGTGCTTGTTTAGTAAAGTTAACATTTTCTTAATGAAAGGCATGGATGTTTGAATGATAATTTAGAAATTTTTTTATTATTAAAGGTTAATTTTGATTATAAATAAATATAATATTACTAGCTAATAACCCATCAAGAATGAGGGGGTTGAGGGGTAATTAGTTATTTTTCTCCCTACTTTTATGATAGTTGTTACCTGTTATTAAAAATAATATCTTTTTATTATTTATAACCCCCTTTCCACTTCAGGCCAGGTCCCCAGGCCTGTAAAAAAAATTTGTTTCAATGTCTGATCCATACTTGATAAAAGAATTCCCAAGCGTCCAAGCTGATAATAATTTTGAAAAATTTTCCTTACGCCAGTCCAATATAATTGATAAAAATATTTTCCAAGCCCAGCCCCACCCATAATAATTTTTAAAAAATTTTTCTCAAACCTGGCCAACGCGTAATAATTTTGAAATTTTTTTCTCAAGCCTGGAGATAGGTAAATTTCTAAAAACCATATTCATTTTTTATTCTTTTTAATCCCGCTCAATCCTACTTCAGACCAAGACCAACTCATTAGGACTAATAGTGAATACTATTTTTTGAGTAAAAACATATTTAAATTAGCTTTTACCTGATACCCATATAAATATTATGCAATATCTAATATAAAAAAAATTCCCAACAGGTTCATGCTCATGATCATGTTGAGAAAATCTTCTCAAGCTCAGACCATAATAATTTTGGGAGTTAAGAACTGAAATAAAATATGTAAAAGTCATAATTCATTTAAAAATAAAATCAGAATATAAAAGTTGCATTTGGTTTTTTGATCAGGCCTACTGCAAAAAAAAATTTCAGGCCAATGTCTAACCCATATTTAAAATTCAAAAATCTTCAAGCATCTCTATTTTAAATTTTATCCAATATGATTTCCATCTCAAATTTAAATTTTGATATTTCTAATACTCTTAATGCTCACTGTGTATGCAACAATTTTCCCTCTTTTTCTCCTAAATTTAATATTTTTATAAAATTTATTAATAAAATATATTTAGTACCATAAACATAAACTAAATAATTACCCTTCAACACCTTCAGCTAGTTATGGTAATAAACGGCATTTTAAAAATATCAGCTATTAATTAATATATATATATAATTAATATTTTAAATTTAATTATATTCAAGTTGGTGTATGCTTTAAGCAAGTTTGTGGTTCGACTCTCGTAGATAGCAAAAAATTAACATTACATTAAATTTTAAATACATTAGGGAGATACGAAAACGATCGTGTTTTGATTTTGGGATTATATATATTATATTATTCTTTACAATAAATTTACACTATTTAATTTATTTTTATATTAGTTATTTGCATCGAGCATAAATTTTCTTCAGAATATATATAAAATAAGAAAAGGATCGTTACTTTTTTAAAAAGATCGACTGGTTTTACGCTGGTTTGAGTATCTAGAAAAGAGGGAAGCGGAATATATAATTTAATTTTTCAAAATATAAATAATATCATAGTAAAAATACTTGTTGATAATAATTATTCACCCTTATATAAATATATCTATATTTTATATCAGCCAGATAAACGACTTTAATCAATCGACGGAAGAAACGAAAATTATGAATATATTGCTCCATTCGCCTCATTGATTTATCAGATGTGATATTTGTTAAATATGTTGAAAATAATGTTTTAAAAACTTGTTACAAAATTAATTATTTAATCAAAAATATTATAATATATTGGTTGTTGTTTGGATTAAATATGCAATAGATATAAAACTAATTATTAATCGTTTCAATTAATATCTCCGTTACATACCCGAATTTTTAAAGCTTTACCTAAATCAAATTCATTGAACCTTACAATTATTGTAAATTGTTTGGCAAAGTATTATTGAATCAGAATATTATGCACAGTTGAAAGTAATTCTCCTGGCAAATATTTTAATCGTATCAGAATATTTTAGATTTATTATATTTGAATCAAATAGGTTTTTATGTTATTCGATCGTTGTTTTAAGTGTTTGACTAGCTTAAATAACAAAATTACTTAAGTCTATGTTTAGAATATTTTTTTTAAATTTTTATCAGTTTAAAATTAATAATTTTTAATAATAGAATGCTATTGCTTTCCTTGTTATTTTTATTAAAAATATATTAAATAAATTAATATAATTTTATGTTGTTAAATTTATTAATAGTACTACGTTAAAAAATGTATTATTTTTACTAAGTTAAAAATTGACATCGAGTAGTGTTTGTTAAATTTCGATGTTTTTGGTAGGAATAGAAAGATAAATATTAATGTTAATAAATTAATACTTTAGTAATCCAATTTTAATAATCCAAACTATGTAGTTCCAAATTTATTCAATAAGACAAAAAAAATGAATTATTATCGATTCACAAATTCGAGGTTTATATAAGTTAACAGATTAAATATTCACAAAAAAAAAATTAATATTCAAAAAATTTTATATGCAAAATTAAAATTAACAATAATATTCTCAGTACATTCAAGTTCGCTAACAATAATTTTAATATTCGTCTCACATTTTAATATTCAAGTCATAAAATAATAAATTCTTTTCATTCAAAAAACTTCATAACTTTAACACCTTTTCACTTCGACTTGATTCTACCACTCATAAACAGCTACCTTGTCTTCCCATCGGTTCCTCCTCCTGTACTGCTAATATGTTATTGATTGCACACTAATCGTGGGAAACCTCCGTAAAATATGATCCCCCCCCCCACAATATCAACACGACATTCTTCTTGTTCCCCAATCCCATTCTCTTCTTCGATTGTATGACCAGCCTGCGGGTCTGTCTACCGTCATATCTCCATACCTGGTCTGCGCCTCTTCTCTGGCTGCGTCTACCCATCTTCTAGATTCTGCCGATCCATAAACCATCCTAATTTCTAACTTAATAATAAAGTTGCCCACTCGAACATAAGAACCCATCTATAACGGAATTAAGCTAATTATATACTATATATTATCATTTATTTATCTCATAGTATTCACCTACTTCCTAATTCTAAATACTCATAATTATTCTCGTACTAACTTATACCTCTCTCTTACCTTATGTCAGATGTAATATCAAATTGTTCCTCCCTTCAGCCGACCTATTCCCATAATTGTGTACATCATACGTCGGCATTATGATTATCATAACTCTCACAGACTTGTTACAAAAACAAATCAGTTAAGTCTATCAGCATTCCCAACATCATGATTCTCATAACTCGCAGACTTGTTTAAAAAACAAATCAATTATGTCTATCAGCATTCCCAAATCAAAGCAATTTAATCGATTCATACCGTCTTATATTCCTAACCTATACACCTAGGTCTTAATTGTTTAATATGCCTCGAAACTATTCCTACTCTTCCTTCAATTTCTACCTCAACCTTCTTTCTTCCTATATTCTTCGTCACTATACCTTTCCCCCATTTAACTGGGCCATCAAAAAGTAGTATCCATACTAGGCTTCCGATTTTAAATCTATCATTAATTATAACATCTTTCTTTCAGAAAATCTAATTCAGTTATATTTTTCTACCTAAAAATATCTATGCTGGTGAGTATCCTTTGCTTCTCTTGATATTGTTGTACGCTAATAGAAATAACCATCATTATCCTTCTCCATATTTTTCCTTTTTTAACCAACTCTTAACTATAGCTACCATTCTCTCTGCTTGTCCATTACTTCTTGGGTAATGTGGTGGTGCTAATAAATGCTCAATCTTCCATCTATCACAAAATTTGTCAAATGCTCTGCCTATAAATCCTGGACCACCATCTGATACTAAGGTCTTCATTAACATATTTACTTACGGTCTTTTACCTTATTCAATGCTACTTTCGTCGACAGACCAGATACCTGTTGACAATCTATCCATTTTGAACCCGCATCTACCATTATGAAATACTTCTTCCTTTCATATTCTAAAAAATCTACGTGTATTCTTTCACATGGTACATCTGCCTTTAGCCATTTGTCTCCCCTAACCTTTGCAGGTACATTCGCACACTTATTACATGTTTCACAACTCTTAGCTAATTTTTCAATTTCATTATTCATTCTGGGCCACCAAATGTATTCCCTTGCCTTATTCTTCATTCTTTCTATGCCCTGATGTCCCGTATGTACGGCTGCTAACATGTCTTTCCTTAACCTACTTGGTATCACTAAACGATATCCTCAACAATTGCCTTCTATATTCAATTCACTTCTACTGTTTTTAAAGGCCTGGTCTCTACCTTCCCATTCTTTATCTCCCTTCAAACAGGCTCTAATTCTCATTAATTCTTCTTCCTGCTGGGAAATCTTGTCTACTAGCTCTAAAGTTATCGGCCTTTCTCTTGTGTCTACCTTTAAAGCTCTTATCACATTACTATTTAGTTCCTCTTCTTCACTATATTCTAAACTATTTATTATTGGCTCTATATCCTTGCCTTCCAAGTCCTTATCACACAATCTCGATAATATATCTGGTAAACAATTTTGTTTACCCGCTCTGAATCTTATTTCGAAATCAAAATTCCCTAACAACATAAGCCATTTCTGTAACCTTGGTGACATCATCAACTACTTATTATCTCTTTTAAAAAGCCCTACCAGCGGTTTGTGATCCGTATATAACAAAAATCATCGGCCTAACAAATACTCTCTACATTTGGTTAAACCAAACTTGACTGTTAAGGCTTCCCTTTCTATAGTTGAATAATTTCTTTCAGCCTTATTAAACTGTCTTGACACAAATAAAATCGGTCTTTCTACATTATCAATTATTTGTAATAAAGCCCCTCCTATACCTTCATTAGAGGCGTCCACTGCTAAAACAATATAATTCCTCATTAAAGCAATTCAAAATAGGTTTCTCTATCAACTTTATTTTCAATTTTTCAAAACTTTTTTCCTGTGCTGCTCCCCACTCAAACCTTTTATTTTTCTTTAATAGACTATATAATGGTGTAGCAATTTCAGCAAAATCTTGAATAAAACGATGGTAATAATTTGTAGCTCCTAAAAACGACTGTAATTCAGACTTATTATTTGGCGCTCTAAATCTTGTCTATATTCTTGGCAATCGGAGTAATTACGTTTCCTTTTATAAAATATCCTAAGTACTTTATTTCTCTTACTCCGAAAACGCTTTTCTTCATATTAGCTTTTAAACCATTCTCTAATATTATATCTAACACCTTAATTAATCTAGAATTATGTTCTTCTTCGGTTCTACCTGATATTAAAACATCATCTAAATAATACATAATTCTTTCCAATCCTTGAAATAAAGAAGTCATGGTTCTCTGAAATATCGCAGCCTAATCTTTCAAACCGAATGGTAAGCGACCAAATGCAAATAATCCTCTATGCGTCGTAATTGTCAACATCTTACTCGTGTTCTCGTTCACTTTAATCTGTAAATAAGCGTTAGAAAAATCAATCTTAGATAAAATTGTTGCTCCTTCTAGATTTGCCAATAATTGCTCTATCCTCGGTAATGGATAACTAACTGTGCTAATCAATGGATTTAACGAAACTCTATAATCTATGCATAATCTTAACTATTATCTGCTTTTCTAATGAGGACTAACGGTATCGCCCAATCGCTATGCACTATAGGTCGTATTATGCCTTCCTTTAACCATTTATTTAATTCCTTATCGACTTCTTTTAACCAGAAAAAGGCAACCTCCGTACTCCACAAAATTTAGGCTGGTAATTTTCCAATAATTTTATATCTACTTCAACATCTTTTAGCGTCCCTATCTCTTCTTTAAAGACCTCCAAGTATTGATCTACAATCATACTTATTTCATGGCTGTATTTATTTTCGATAATCTCTTCCTGTTCTACTGTTTTCTTAATTATCTGTTTGTTGATTTCAACGGGTGTTACCTCTAAAGACTTTATATCTCTTGAAATCTTATTCTCTTTGTCTCTATATTTAATCAAAAACGTGTTCGATTTCTAAGTTTATCGAAAACTATCTCTTGCTTATCTTCTATACTAGGTAACTTAAATTTATCGACATCACTCTTTATTATTTAACTATTTACACCATTACATACAGAGATAGTTTCAAAAAAATTCCACCAATTATAAACCGAACCTATCGTTCTTATATCGCACCATCCTACAATTGGCTCAACCTTCAACGTAGTTATCCATAAATTTATATATTTATTAACTCCTGGTAACCTTAACCTATAATAACCTAAAATTTTCACAACACTACCATCTAATTGTTTGGCTCTTATCTTTTTTACAACAAATTCTTCTTCTGGCCAAAATCTCATAAAATCCTTAATACTCATCAAACTAATTTCAGCTCCTGTATCTAATAAAAAACATATCTCTGCTTCTTCAGCCTTTATCTTGACTCTCGGACATCTATTTTTCATTAAAAAATCATCCAATTTGATTTTTCGTACATCTACACAAGTTGAACCTTTTATTCTATATATTTCAAAATTCCTACTTTCTATCTTTATATCTCTCCTTTTACCTATACTTCTATTATTATTACTCAAACTATAATTATCAGCATTAAAACACTCATTATCATCACAGGATTTATCATTAACATTAAAATACTTATTCTTACTTGAATAAAAATTATCACCATTAGAAAAATTATTATTATTACAAAATTTATCATGAAAATATTTATTTGCTTGAATT